CAGGGTGGCACTGCCCCTGGGTGGGGTGTCCCTGACAGGGACAGTGCCACTGCCACCAGCTCGACTGTCCCTGATGGGGGTGGTGGCATTAACCCTGGATGGGGTGTCCCTGCCCGGGGGGGTGTCCCTGGCCTTGGCTGGACTGTCCCTGGAGGGGATGGTGGCACTGCCACTGACCGGCCTGTCCCTGGAGGGGACAGTGCCACTGCCACCAGCAGGGCTGCCCCTGGGTGGGATGGTGGCACTGCCACTGGCCAGCTTGTTCCCCACTGGGCTGGTGGCACTGCCCCTGGATGGGTTGTCCCTGGAGGGGATGGTGGCACTGCCCCTGGATGGCCTGTCCTTGACAGGGATGGTGTCACTGCCCCTGGCTGGGCTGTCCCTGGGGGACAGGGTGGCACTGCCCCTGACAGGGCTGTCCCTGCTGGGGGTGCTGGATCTGCTCCTGGATGTGCTGTCCCTGGGGGACAGGGTGGCACTGCCCCTGGATGTGCTGTCCCTGCTGGGGGTGCTGGATCTGCTCCTGGGCAGGGGGTCCCTGGGGGAAATGGTGGCACTGTCCCTGGCAGGGCTGTCCCTGGGGGGGACAGTGGCACTGCCCCTGGATGTGCTGTCCCTGTGGGACAGGGTGGCACTGCCCCTGGATGTGCTGTCCCTAGGGGGGACAGTGGCACTGCCCCTGGATGTGCTGTCCCTGTGGGACAGGGTGGCACTGCCCCTGGATGGGCCAGCCCTGGGGGAGACAGTGGCACTGCCTGGCCTGTCCCTGGTGGCACCGTCCCTGACTGGCCTGTCCCCAGTGGGGATGGTGGCACTGCCCCTGGGGATGGTGGCACTGCCCCTGGCCTGGGTGTCCCTGGAGGAGACAGTGGCTCTGTCCCTGGGCGGGGTGTCCCTGCTGGGGGTGCTGGATCTGCTCCTGGGTGGGGTGTCCCTGGGGGGCACAGTGGCACTGCCTGGCCTGTCCCTGGTGGCACTGTCCCTGACGGGCCTGTCCCCAACAGGGACGGTGGCACTGCCCCTGGATGTGCTGTCCCTGACATGGATGGTGGCACTGCCCCTGGATGGGCTTTCTCTGGGGGAAACAGTGGCACTGCCTTGCCTGTCCCTGGTGGCACTGTCCCTGACTGGCCTGTCCCCAGCAGGGCTGGTGGCACTGCCCCTGGCACGACTGTCCCTGGAGGGGGTGGTGGCACTGCCCCTGGACGTGCTGTCCCTGACAGGGATGGTGGCACTGCCCCTGGATGTGCTGTCCCTGGAGGGGGTGGTGGCACTGCCCCTGGAGGTAATGTCCCTGACAGGGGTGGTGGCAGTGCCACTGACCGGCCTGTCCACAATGGGGGTGGTGGCACTGCCCCTGGCAGGGCTGTCCCTGGCAGGGGTGGTGGCACTGGGGGGGCAGGTGGCAGTGCCACTGGCTGGACTGTCCCCAGCAGGGACGGTGCCACTGCCCAGCCTGTCCTTGGTGGGGAGGGTGTCCCTGCCCCTGGACGGGCTGTCCCTGGCAGGGATGGTGGCACTGTCACTGGCTGGCCTGTCCCCAGCAGGGACGGTGGCATTGCCACCAGCTGGGCTGTCCCCAACAGGGACAGTGCCACTGCCACTGGCTGGCCTGTCCCCAGTGGGGGGGGTGGTGGCACTGCCACCTCCAGCAGAGCTGCCACCAGGGATGGTGGCACTGCCCCTGACTGGCCTGTCCTCCACGGGGACAGTGTCACTGCCCCTCACTGGACTGTCCCCAGTGGGGACAGTGGAACTGTCACCACCAGGAGAGCCATTGCTGGGAGAGCCACCACCAGGGGTGGTGGCACTGCCAGGGACAGAGCTGTCCCCAGTGGGAATGGTGGCACTGCCAGGGACAGAGCTGTCCCTGCCAGGGATGGTGGCACTGCCAGGGACAGAGCTGTCCCTTCCAGGGGTGGTGGCACTGCCAGGGACAGAGCTGTCCCTTCCAGGGGTGGTGGCACTGTCAGAGACAGAGCTGTCCCCAGTGGGAATGGTGGCACTGCCAGGGACAGAGCTGTCCCTTCCAGGGGTGGTGGCACTGTCAGGGACAGAGCTGTCCCCAGTGGGGATGGTGGCACTGCCAGGGACAGAGCTGTCCCTTCCAGGGGTGGTGGCACTGCCAGGGACAGAGCTGTCCCCACTGGGCATGGTGGCACTGCCCTTGACTGGCCTGTCCTCCACGGGGACAGTGGCACTGCCCCTCCCCAAACTGTCCCCAGTGGGGACAGTGGGACTGTCACCAGGAGAGTCACTGCTGGCAGAGCCACCCCCAGGGATGGTGGCAGTGCCACTGGCAGGGCTGTCCCCAACAGGGACAGTGGCACTGACCGGGCTGTCCCCAACAGGGACAGTGGCACTGACCGGGCTGTCCCTGACAGGGACGGTGGCACTGCCACTGACTGGTCTGTCCCCAGGGATGGTGGCACTGCCAGTGACAGAGCTGTCCCCAGGGACGGTGGCACTGAGTGGCCTGTCCCCAGAGGTGGCAGCACTGGCAGTGACAGAGCTGTCCCCACCAGGACCGGTGGCACTGGCAGTGACAGAGCTAACCCTCACAGTGATGGTGGCACTGCCCTCAACCTGCCTGTCCCCAGGGACGGTGGCACTGCCACTGACAGGGACGGTGGCACTGCCCCCTCCAGCAGAGCCCCTTCCAGCAGTGCCACCACCAGCAGAGCCCCCCCCCGGGACAGCCCCCCCTGGGGACAGTGGCACTGTCACCACCAGCAGAGCCCCCCCTGGGGACAGTGGCAGTGCCACCACTGGGAGAGCCTCCCTTGGGGACAGTGGCACTGTCACCACCACCAGAGCCTCCCTTGGGGACAGTGGCACTGTCACCTCCACCAGAGCCCCCCCTGGGGACAGTGGCACTGTCACCACCAGCAGAGCCCCCCCTGGGGACAGTGGCAGTGCCACCAC